TTTCCCTTCATTGAAAATCTTGTAGCAAAACCTTGATGATCACTTATCAGGTGTGTGAGTGAGGAGACTTCTTTTCAGGCCAGATTGTACTAAGTGACCTCCAAGATACCTTCCAACTCTCATAGTCTGTGATAACAGTAATAGAGTGTATTAAAGAGGAAGTATGTGAATCCAATTTTGAACTTTTTAAAAGCTGTTATGTAAACAAAAAGAGTTTTAATATTTTTAAAGCAGAATTTAGTAGAATTTTTTTTATGTTGCCAAAGCAGATAAATTTATTTCAGTTTGGACAACACTAAATAGGGATGATGATATGAGAGCTCCATAGAGTTCCTAGGACATATTTTTTTGAGAAGTTACTTTCATACACAATCATAATGGATTTTTTTTTGTTTACAGTGATAACATTTTCCTAAAAATGCATTTTTTTAAAAATTATTGTCCATATCTTTAGATTCACAAAACACAAACCTACTTTTCAACTCAATACTTACACAAGCCATAGAATTTCTTGACAGTAATACATTTGAGCAACCATTTGGAGGAGCCTGTGCAACAGAATCATGAGCAAAGGTTGAGCCTGACTTGCAGGGAAATCTTCATTGGAAGAGTAATTCAAATCACGCAGGATTCTTCGTCATACTCTAATAATTAATGAATTTTTTTTTTGGTAGACTTTGTTGTAAGAAAGGTTAAGTGTAATGGAAGCTTAAAACTGGGGCTAGATTATTCTGGTGGAAAACTCAGCTTGGTCTTGCGCCCCTGGTAGCACGGGCATTCTGAATGTTGGAAGTGAAGCAGCTGGCCCTCACACTTGGTAGTTAACAGACATCTAAATGAAAATTCATTGATAGAAATCTAAGTTAACGTTAGACCAAAATCCCAGATTTTTGGTCAGGAGTGTGAGTTCTACCTTTGTCATGAGACAGCTTAATTTTTGCACAAATGCAGGTATTGTAATCTTAACTCCATTTTCATCCCAATTTTCTTACCATGTCTGTTGATATTCATGTTCTGAAGAGGTAACTACAGATAGTCAACCCTTGATTATCTGTGGTAATGGAGGATAATAGCTTACCTTTACCTTATCTATGGCTTTACATATATTAGTCCTCACAAAACACCTTCTTGTACATTATCTCATTTGGAGACTACAGTGGGCCAAACTCTCATTTTAGTCAATAGTTTCAATCCTTTCTAAGCAACCTTTTACCAGGACTACTAAGAAAATGGCAATTTGATGACTTGTTCCACCTTTGTTTCCCCTATGCATCCTCCCTAGTAAATGGAAGGTATTTTAAATGGAAAGTATTAGGATAATGAAATGGGAGAAGTATATAGTCTGTACCATCCCCATGTGGGATCTTTGTGACACAGTAATATCTCTCAATCAGTAAGGAAGGGAAAGAGTTTTATAAAGCTAAAAGTGCTTACATAAATTTATAATTTTTTTAAAAAAAATCTTAACTGTGATTGTGAACCTTAAATCCTAGTTTTGTACTTCAGTGATAGAATAGAGATTGGACTTGTGATTTCCTTGGAAACTCCTTGGAAAATATATTGGGGTAGACAGATCTCCTAGATGAGAAAATCCTCTCCAGTCAGTCCTCCAGTCATCAGATTACCTAAGGCACTGAAAGGTTAAGTGACTTGCCAATAGTCACATAACTAGAAAATGTCCAAGTCAGAACTTGAACCCAGGCCTTGCTGGTTTTGAGACCACCTCCTTATCCACTATGCCACACTTCCTTAACCCAACAGAACTGACAGTCAGTTTGCTTAATTATAAGTTTAAGTTATTTTCAACTTATCTAGTCAATTCTATATTTGGTAGGTAGGAAAGTCATGTTTATATTTGCTTATGAAAATCATTCAGCAAGTGTTTATTAAATGCCTATTATGGATGCTGAGGTTACAGACAAAAATGAAACAATCCTTGACTATATTCTAAGATAAAATATACAATTTCAGAATGATACTAGACTTCACATAAAGGACAAGATAGGAGCTTTATGCTGTCACGTTTTTAGAAAAATTGTCCTTGAATTTTCCTTTGACCTTCATAAGGAAAAGAAATTCCTCCCGTACATAGATCTGTTGAGTATTACCTAGCCTTAGTTGAATATTCGCTACCCAAAGCGTAAGAGAGGCCTGGGCTTCTTCTCTGACTGTTCCTAATATACTACAAACATCATCAAAAAATATTGCCATTGATGTATAGGCATGGGAGTCCACATGGGGAAATCAGAGGAAATGGGAGAACACATGGTATACAGCAGAAGACATACAAACAGCAGGAAATCAGAGGAATGTAGGAGAAGGCGAAAGGATGTGTGTGCAGCTGGACAGTGAGGCCTCACGATAGGGGAATTTCTTTGAAAAGCCATTCCTTCCAAGGTGTTTCTTTTCCACAAGGTTCAATGCTTGTAATATAGGTTGCTACCAGCACATGAACAGCAATACCTTGGATGATGCCTCATAGCCAAAAGTGAGTGGTATGTTTCCTGTAGGTATGATTAAAAACATTTTCACTTCCCACTTAATTATACCTTTCCATAAAAAGAGAACTCTTTATTAAAAATGACTGGCAGGAATTTTAACCAATATCAGAATTTTTTTCTTTGTTTTTCTAGAGACCTATGATATAATTAGGACAGGGAATTCATGGTGTGAAAACTCGCCCCACTGATGGAGATTGCAACTCCTCTAGAGCTTAGAGAAATTTAGAGGGTAACTATGGCATTGAGAAGTTAAGTAACTGGTCTGTGGTCAAAGAGTATGTGTCTGCAGCAAGATTTGAACACAAGTTATCTGGGCATTTTCTCTGACTATCCCTCATGCCTGCAACACTCTCCCCCAACTCAGACTACTGACCTCCCTGGCTTCCTTTAAGTTCCAACTAAAATCCCACCTTTTACAGGAAGTTTTCCCCAAACCCTCTTAATTCCAGAGTCTTCCCTCTGATAAATATTTCCTATTTATCCTGTATATAGCTTGCTTTGTAATTATTTGTTTGTATGATTAGATTACAAGCTCCTTGAGGTCAGGGACTGTCTAGCCTCTATTTGTATCTCGAGTACTTAACAGAGTGCCTGGCACATAGTAGGCGCTTAATAAATATTGATTGATTGACTCAAAGGTCCACCCTCCATCCTCTATGTTTTGTTCCCACAGTATTATTTTATATAGGAAATATAATTTATAAAAAAGATTTAAAAAATGTAAATACCTTTCTTTTAGATACTTTTCACCCTAACTTTTAACTGTCCTTGTTTAATATTTAATACGCCCTGATTTTCTCTAGACTTGAGGAGATTTAACTCATCCCAAATCAAGATCACTAGTCAGCTTTGCCTTCTGTTAAAATTCTTACAGTTTTCATCTGTTGCAGCTTTAATTGCTTCCAGGAAAATAACAACAGCAACAGCAAAACTTATCTATGACTGTTTTTTGTTAGTCCCAGCAAAGGCTCTACATCATTAGACTTAATTTTCATCCTATTTTTTTCCTGCATCTTTTCCCATGATCAGAAACAAAAAGAAAGGCTACATGTCCTAAGTTTTTCTGCAATTATCGTTTTATAATTGAGAGACTTTTATATCACCTTGCCACTATTCTTACTCTTTAGAGTTTGCCCTTATAAAAATCTAATTCTTATTAAATATATACATTTACTTAAGAAATTTAGAGCCCTGGTTTGGATGGAGATGGCCCATTGGTAAAATGATACCATTTTAAAATATTGTTTAAAGGGAATGAAATAAATAATGAAATATTGTTTAAATTGTTTAATTATTAAAAAGAATAAATTAATTTTTTACTTTTTATTATATTTATTATTAAAAATAAAAAATTATTTTAAATATATATATAATGATTTTCACACTATTATAGCAGTTGTAGGACTTATGGGATATTCAACATGTTGTCCTCATGCTTCTCCATTTTAGCATAAATCAGAAGCATGCCTGTGGCCATGCAAACAATGGAAAAAGCCAAGAAAATGATTTTTTTTAAATGTCTAAGTTTAAACAAGAGGGGAGAGACTAGAGAAATGATGCTTAAAATTGCAATATCCTATATACCTCTACCCCCTTTATCTGCTATAATGGGCCTACGATACCCAGGTGATTTATACCATATAGAGATAAGAAGTAGGAATGAATATAGGAATCAGAAACACTACTGCCTGGAATTCCGACCAGTGACTGGTCCCTACTTCTTCACCCTGTGATGGCTTCAGTATGCTACAAGTTTCTACACTGTGTTGATGCATGCCTCCATCATTGCACCACCTGTCTTTGTGTCAGAGGAACTTGAGGAGAATGACTGAGGGACAGGCAGTAAACTTGACTCCCAAGCTCACTCCCCCAAATCTTTGCAAAAACGATTTGTAGATAGAATGTGAAAGAAGCCAAGGATGCAAGAGCTAAGCAAGAAGAAAGGAAAAGATTTAAGGTAAAGGTAATTCATGGCGACCCAGGAGATGCCACATAGGGCTGGAGGAAAGGGAAAGACAAATCACACTCAGAGACTATTTTCTGGTGAGTTTTATGCATTGACATCCAAGTATGAGCAGAAAGGAAGATTGTGGATTTTCTCCCCTCCCTTCTCTCCTATCCCATTTCTCCACCCCAGGAAAAGTGAGTCTCCCTGATGCTGATCAGTTCCTTTCTGCCTTTTGCTCATCCTTCCCTTAAATGTTGCTATAGTTCCCAGTGCTTCCAATTTATAATAAAATTATTGGCCACCTTCCCAGAGCTGTTGTACTTTACTTAGTGCTTAAGTATCTAAAGAGAGAGGGGTCAGGCTCTCCCTTCCAGAGATGAGAAATCTCTTGTCTAACTGAGTTAGGCTGGGTATTTGGAGCTGTTCAGTCAAAGTGAGATCAGTTTTGGGCTATTAAAAACCTGGCATAGGTTTTGGAACCCAGATATCTCTAGATTTAAGTGTGAGCAGGTAAGCAAGTTTCTCTGGCTGCAAACAGAACAAACCATGGGTATTTTTAGTAAAACTTTTATTTTTCGTTGACTTCAACTATTGCTGCACTGAGTCTTGAAAAGCAAGACAGGTTTCCACACCACCACCACCACCTGGAAAGCAAGTTATATATACATGCTCAATAGGATTACTGGTTCATGGGATAGCTAATAGCTCAGCCTGGCTACCCCCGCAGCAGCACCTGATGTCCACAAATGCAAAGCTAATCTACCCTGGAAGTTTGTAAGTGAAAAGCCCCAAGTGGAAGTCCTTACTCGCTCCCAACTGGTAATGACATAACTTTTGCCACGCCTGGTCTTTGGGGGCTTTATATAGGGACTGGAAGTTGGTCTGGGAATGCTCATGATGGGTACGTTGATATTAGCTGGCTATGATTTATTTCTACCACTGTGACTGAAATATTTATGTAGGAAGTCCTTGTAAATGGCCTTAAATGAAATATACCCAGGCAAGGAATAAATGGGAGTGGCCAGTCAATGGGGGCAGGCACATGAGCCTTGACTGTCTTTCTATTTCTCTCATTCTCTTCCATTAAACCTGCTCTTGCTCTTCATTGTGACTCTGGTTCCTTGACCCCTTCCTGTTCTCCCAGTCTGTGGCCCCACCCTAGCCTCACTGACTCCTTCCTCAGTCTTCATTCCATTGTTTGCCACTGTATTGATTCACTAGCCACCACCCCAGAACTCTTCACCTGCTAGACCACAGGTGGCCCGTGGGCCAACATTCCTAAGTGCAGGCCAAACCAGATTAAAATATAATTGGAAAATATTTGATGAAATAAGTAAGACATAAATAATATTAATATGTCATTTTCTAAGGCAATATATATAGCCCACAGGGATCCTTTTTTATAGTTTCATGGTCCCCATTTCTATCTGAGTTTGACATAGCAGCTCTTAGACCTTACACCATTCTTGTCAAAAAGAGGTAATCTGAATCTTCCTCTCTTGCTCCTGGACTAATGAATTTAATTGGAAAAATACAAAATCAAGCCGATTTCACCCCATATAAGTTTATGGTTCATAACCTCATAACCTCTCTCTTACTTAGCAATCCTGCTACTCTACTCATGTTGAGTCAGTCAACTACCTAGTCAATAAACATTTAAGTGCCTGCTATATGCGAGGAACTATGCTAAGTGCTGAGGTTAGAAAAAAAAGGCAAAAGATAGTCCCTGCCCTCAAGGAGCTCACAGACTAATGGAGGAGATAACAAGCAAATATGTACAAACAAGCTTTATATAGGATAAATAAGAAATAATTAAAGACTTAAGAAGTGTTCAGAAAGGCTTCATGTAGAACATAGGATTTTGGTTCGGACTTAAAAGAAGCCAAGGAAGCCAGAAGCAGAGATGAGAAGGAAGAGCGTTCCAAGCATGGGGACAAGCCAAAGGAAAGATTAGATTCCCTATCCCATTCTTAACAATGATTGTTGCAAACCTCATCTTCCCCTATTCCTTCACACATATATATTATAGGGGCTGCTGGGTGGTGCAGTAGAAAGAGTACTGGGACTGAAGTGAGGAATACAATTTTTTTTTCTTTTTGGTGAGGCAATCTGGGTTAAGTGACTTGCCCAGGGTCACACAGCTAGTAAGTGTCATGTGTCAGACTGGATTTGAATGCAGGTCCTCCTGACTCCAAGGCCAGAACTCTATCCACTGCGCCACTTAGCTGCAAACATTTTAAAATCTGGCCTTGGACGCTGACTAGCTGTGTGACCCTAGGCAAGTCACCTAGCCTTGTTTGCCTTAGTTCCCTCATCTGTAAAATAAACTGGAAAAGAAAAGAGTAAACCACTCTAGTACCTTGGCCAAGAAAACCCCACATGGGACTGATGAAGAGTTGGACACAACTGAAAAATGATCAATCACAACAATATAGCAGATGACTTAATCTTCTCTATCAATGATTGGCCCATCTCACATAAGCTTCCTCAGCTTTCCTCTTCTATGCCTCAAAACTTCCAGCGTTATCAGCCACTTTGTGATCATTCCTTCTTGTAGGCAAGGAAAAAGATATCCCTCTTCTTTGCTAGTCTTATCTTCTTTGTGTGTCTTTGAGCCCTTGATCCTACCCCTTCCTGCCTTTTCAAGGTTCTTGCTCCAGCAGTCAGTCCCATCCCTCACGCATCTTCAGTCTATCTTCTCCAATGCCTTTTTCCCCATGTTCTTAAAAACAATCAGGTCTTCATAATCCTAAAAAAAAAAAGGGGAAAAAAAAGTCTTCCCTTGACCCTTTTATCCCGTTCGGCTACTGTTGGCTCTTTCTTTTTTTTTTTCTTTTGCCATACTTGAAAAAAGCCATCTTCACCCTGTGCACTGACTCACAGGATTTAGAGTTGGAAGGGATCTTAAAGCATGTCAAGTCCAACCTTTTTGATGAAAACTAAAAAAGAAGAAACTGAGACATTGTTGTTTGGTCATTGCAGTTGTGTTTGACTCTTCATAGACCCCATTTAGGGTTTTCTTGGCAAAGATACTAGAGTGGATTGCTATTTCCCTCTCTAGCTCATTTTACAGATGAGGAAACTGAGGCAAACAGGGCAAAGTGACTTGCCCAGGGTCCCACAGCTAGTAAGTGTCTGAGGCCAGATTTGTACTCAGGAACTCCTGACTCCAGGGCCAGCGCTCTGTCCACTGCGCCTGCTGGCTACCCTGAGACCTAGAGAGGTCACACATCTTGTCAGTGATCAGGCCAAAATTAAAACCCATGTGTTCTAAGTGCAAAGCCAAAGGTATTTCCACTCTACTATTGCGACAATCCTCACCCAAAAGCTCTCCACCACGGTCACTGGATTACCTCACATAAGTATAGCTTCTTAATATAAAATGCTATTTCACTACCCCTTGTATCTAATCTTGGCCTTTTGAATAAAGCATACTTCTCCATAGTCTTATTCAGGTTACTAGTCCCATCGCAAATTTCAGTGATTTCTGTGAGGTTGAATTTGAATCTTTTATGTTAAGATCCCTTTTAGAAAGTCAATTTCCTACTCTATTTCCTACATTGAGTCTGCTTCTTCCTCCTCACTCTAAAAACTCCATCCTCTGCCTTCTCTCTCTGCCTGCTACCTTGGCAATCTCATGCATTCTCACAACTTCAACTCTTAACTCTATGCAAACTTAGTCTCAAATAAGGCAATATATGTCAAAGTTCTTTGCAAACCTTAAAGTACCAATAACTTCAAATATATATTAAGTTCCACGAGGGCAAGAATTGTTTCATTTTTGTCTTTCTGTCCTCAATATTTAGCACACACACATAGGGGATGCTAAATAAATATATGCTGACTTGAATTGAATAACTCCCAACCAGTATTCTTAGCCCTGCCTTCCTTTCAAGCTCCAGACCTACATTTCCAGCTGCCCACAGAATAGCTCTTTCTGGATATCCCACTGGCACTTCAAACTCTTCACACACAAAACCAGCCTTATTATCTTCCCCCTAAATCTACTTCTCTTTTTTGACTTCATTATTTTCTGAGTTTGGAATGTTTTGTTTTATTTTTCATCCTTTCCAATATCTCATATCTAATCATTTAATATTCCTATCTTTTTATCCATCACAATTTCTACTGGCTCTGCTCCCTCCTATTTCAACAACCACCACCCTAATAAAGTTCTAATTGACACCTGTCTGAACTATAACAGCAGCCTACTAGCAGATCTTCTCACCTCCAAACCTTTCTGCCAGATATACCTTTCTTATTCATAGATAGGATCCAGTCACTCCCTCAAGGGCACCATACTAACTACCTACCAAGTGGAATTCATCTATCTTTGCCTGGGATTAAAGACTCCACACTCTGGCACCAGTATTTCTTTCCAGCCTTGTGTCATACAACTTCCCACCATGACTGCCAAAAGTGTACTACTTATTATATACTATTCATGCCCTGAAATTGCCTAATTCCATGCCTTTGCTTGTGCTCCAGATGAATGAATGAAAGAGGATTTATTACTTCCTATATGCAAGTGTGTGTGTGTGTGTGTGTGTGTGTGTGTGTGTGTGTGTGTGTGTGTGTATGCGCAACTAGAGGCAGCTTGGTGGCACAGCGAATAGAATGCTGGGCCTGGAGTCAGGAAGACTCATCTTCTTGAGTTCAAACCCAGGTTTAGACACTTACTACTGTGTGACCCTGGACAAGTTACTTAACCTCATTTGCCTCAGTTCTTCATCTGTAAAATGTGCTGGAAAGGAAATGGCAAACCACTCTAGTATCTTTGCCAAGAAAGTCCCAAATGGGGTCACCAAGAGTCAGACGAGACTGAAAAACAACTCAACAATAATATGCAAAGCACTTTGCCAAGCACCGGAGTTATAAATAGAAAGGTGATCTGTCCCTTGCTCTCATGAAGCTCACATTCTAAGGGGGGAACAATACCATAGGATGGTTCAGACACAGGGTAGATGGAAAGGTCTAATGGTCCTTAGATACTATAGTGAGGAGGAAGGTAAGGCCTAGTGGTCCAGAAGGGAAATAACCTAATTTTTCTAGATTAGAGGAAAGATAATTCTTTCAAAAACCATATCCATTTCTAACATTGAAGCATTTGACTCTGTCAAGGACTTTTATGACAAAGGAAGTTGCTATGTTACATGTACATTTAGAATTATTTTCCTTTTCCCATCTATTGGATTACTAGCTCTCCTTTAAATCCCAATTCAAATCATATCTTTTTCCATGGCAAATTTCCCATCTGCCCAGTCATCAGTGACCTTTAATACTTTTTCACATTTCTCCCATCTTCACACATGTGTTATTTGGACTTCTCATCTACACATCTTACGTATGGTTTTTGTTATATTTCTTTTTGTGTGTGTCATATCTCTCTACTAGACTGTAAGTTGCATGAGGGATCCTAAATCTTGATATTTCACCCAGCTGAAATGAAATTGGATAGAACAATAAATAGTGCTTTGGCAAGATCCTAGCACATTGATTTAAGGCCTGCTAATCACATTATTTGCTCTACTCCTTATGTGAAATGCCAAATGTGTGGAATTCAAATGGTCTTGTGCCAAACATGTGGATTTCTTTAAATAAGGCAAGAAATTCTTGATTAAATGTGATTTAAAATGGTGCCTCA